AATATATATTTAAATACTTTATAATATATTAAAAATATATTAAATATTTAACATAATATATATTAAATATATAATAACATATTTAATATATTAAATATTTATAATATATTTAGCAAATATTATTTACAATATATTTAATAATATAATAAATATATTTATTGAATAATATATTATATAAATATTTACTAAATATATTTATTTAGTAAATATTTATATAATATATTTATTTATATAATACATATTTAAAAAGTATTTAATATATATATATATATATCATAAAATGATGTTTGTATATGAATAAGTAAAGCCAAATAATTAACATAAATCATGTTAGACCAAGTGGCATATAAGCACATTTTATATGCTAGTGGTACCAGGTTCAAACCTCCTCTTTGCAATATTTTGCTACATTTCCACGTAAGTGCTGCTGAGTCAAGCTTTTTGATGACGTGGCCGTTAAAAAAATGCCCCGTCAGCTTTCCGTTGACGGACGTTATGTCCGTGTATCATGTTGCCAAAAATGTAAAGGTTGTGTATTTACTTGACAAGGTTTGAAAGTCATGATTAAATGGCCAATCAAGTAAAGGTCGTGTATTTTTCCGCTATTAAATATAAAATATAATCAGAATACAATAAATCTTGTTTTGTTTAAAAAAAAAATTCAGATATAGTGAGTTGTAAATAATATCGGACTTATACATATATAATTCTAAAAATATAATTAAAAAAAATATCTTTTTAAAAAATTTAGTGTAAAAATATGAGCACCATTTGAATATTATCAATTTGTTAGTTATTTATTATTGTTGCATATTCATCATACATAATTTCATAATAAAAATATAAATTATTTTAATACTTATTGTACAAATAATAATATATTTAAGTACCTGTGTACTACATTCAATGTACACAACAGAATTTCTGAATAGAATCAAGTGCTCTGGCATTCCAAATCATATTCTAGAATTGAAGGTTAGTGTATCTGTTATGTTGGTTCGAAATATAGATCAATCTTCTGGCTTATGTAATGGCACCAGGTTGGTCATGACTCAACTTGGTAATTGCGTTATTGAAGCGAAGATTTTATCTGGGGGTAACATTGGTAGTAATGTCCTTATTCCACGAATGTCGTTGAGTCCGTCTGATGCTAGATTGCCATTCAAATTTCAACGATGGCAGTTTTCCCTCTTGGTGTGCTTTGCAATGACCATTAACAAGAGTCAAGGACAAACATTGTCTAACGTTGGGTTGTACCTACCTAAATCCGTATTTTGTCATGATCAACTTTATGTTGCAATATCTAGAGTTAGGAGCAGAAGAGGTTTAAAATTTTTGTTGCGACAATAATGGGAATATTGTAAATCGAACTAATAACATTGTATACCGAATTTTTTTTCAAAATTTGAAATAATATCACAATTTCTGTTTTTATTTTATTATTTATTTTTTATCTTTATTTTTTATATTATTATATAAATTATTGTAGTTCTACCTTTTGTGAAACATAATTTTTTTTAATCACTCGTGTAATACACGGGTGTCGTACTAGTGCTTTATATATGTCCGTGTAAATTTTTTAAATCGGTTGCAAAAAATCCGTGTAATCAAATTCATTTGAATAACATCAATGAAAGATATGTACGTTTAAAATGTGGTTACATTTGAACTTAATCTTTACATGTTGTTACATTTAAACTTAATCTATACATGTAAAAAAGATAAAGTATAAGGAATATCCTATCTCCACGTAAAAAAATCCCATATTGGGTTTTAGTTCCATACACACGTCTGTTGCCTTTAAAGATCGGACCGATACGAATAATTCTATTATACTTAAAAATCTATATATTCTACAAAATCCATTTAAATTTTAAAAATCTGATCCCTTATCTATATATTCTAACAATTTTTTTTTTTTTAAAAATCCTATTATACTTAAAAATCTATATATTCTACAGAATCCATTTAAATTTAAAAAATCTCATCCCTTATCTATATATTCTAACAATTTTTTTAAAAAAACTATCGTAACAGATTTTTTTTTTTAATTCACTATCTTTAATTGCTAATATAAATCCTTGATGTAATTTTTTTTTTAAAGTTAATTTTCACCCATCTAAATACTAATATTTTTTCAAATATTATTACCACTTATAATATTTTAGATATTTTAAACATTATTTGGAGAATGACTAAGGAGCTATACACACACACACACACACACATATATATATATATGGAGGTTAAACTTAAGTATTTTTTACATGTTTTCCTTAAAAGGTAGTTTAAAAAGTGGCTTCAAACATTTTTCAAAAATAATATAGAATATTTTGTATACTTTTTATATATATGAAATAATATTTTAGATGTTTTTAATATACTTATCACATATTTATTTAGATGTTTTTAATATACTTATCACATATTTCTCCCCCAAAAATATTAAATACATACAATAAAAAGTTAATAGAAGAAATGCAGAATTAAATGTTGTTTTCAATTTTTGTCTGATTATCAGTTGTATATAAAATCTCATTTTTTTTGTTACAGTTTACATTAATCTTTGAGTTATATTTATAAAATTAATAAATCTGCATAAATCGTAGAACTTACAAAAAAAAAAAATAATAAAAAAATAATAATTTTAAAATATTATGTACTCAAATTTTTGGAAGTACCGTCATAATTTGGGGTCGTGTCAGTGTTTATGTTATATATACTAGGTAATTTTTCTCTCAAAAAATTTATAATGTCTTTATTTAGGCTTATAATATTTAGATACTTTTATATAATATTTTATCATATCATATTATATCTATATATACATGCACACACACACACACACACACACATATATATATTAAATTTAAATATTTTTAGACATGTTTTCTTTACATAAAAGTTTAGAAAACATCTATCATACAAATGTGAAATTTAAATGTTTTTAATAATAATACAAAAACCTTTTACATACTTTCACATATTTTTTTATATTTTAATATACAAACTTTATGTTCTCTTATGCAAGTTAATTTTATAGTGTTTAAACTGATATACAATAAATTATATCATATGTTAACCCTACATCTTTAATTTATAATTATTATTTAATATTATTTATTCTCATCTTTAATTTGTAATATTTTTTTGGCTCTTTTAAAATGGATAATAGTGGTTCCCCACTTCCTTCATTGGGTGACTCGAACTCGAGACCTAATAATAATTAATTATTATTTAATATTGTTTACTCTCATTTTTAATTTATAAAATATTTTTTTTCTTACTCTTTTAAAAGAGGATAGTAATGGTTCCCCACTCCTTTCATTGGGTGACTCGAACTCGATACCTATTTATAATTATTATTTAATATTATATACTTGTGCATCGCACGGGCTACGCACTAGTTTTTATATAAAAAATATTAATTCATATCCAAGCTTGACTCCGAAGCATAACATTTTACCAAATATGATTTCGAAGCGTGAGAGCATATTACTTAGGCTCAACGCATTCTGCAATCTTCTTTACTTATATAAAATTCCATCCCATTTACTAGAATTGGTAGGAAGAAAAGTCAACTTATAATTAATTGCACACCATATTTAGAAAGTTTTAGATATTTTAATTCATAAAATAGGGTAGCATTAAATGCCCCTAAAATTATGGGTTTTGTTGAATTCATTTTTGAAAATTTCGACAGATATTGAAGTGAATATGAAATTCAAAATCTCTTCTCATTTTATTTTTAATAAAATCTGCATCCAAATTTACTTGTGGTTTTGAACTAAAAATTTGAAATTCAAAATTTCTTCTCATTTTAGTTACAAGAAAATCGGATTGCATTCAACACTTTGACTGATTTAAAAATTATTCCTTAAATGAAGGAATTTATAGATAATTGTTATCTCAACTCAATCACATGATTATTTTCAATATAAAAAGAGACAGATTACAAATTAGTGAATCATATATTACCTAATTCAATATCTTAACATTAAAGAATAAATCCATAGTATTATGTAAATCCGTATCTCATATTATTATATCATTAAGAATATATTATAGTTATATTATCAAATTATAAAAAGATATTACATCCATATTAGAAAAAAAATAATTCATATAATTTTATAACAATTCTACTACACTATTTAACATTATTCCTTTTTATTATATATAAAATAATAATTAAATATTATATAGTGAACAACAATAAGTAAAACTGTTACTTTTTTTTATATCAAGGGATAAAATTATATGTTAAAATTAAATTTTTATTAGTATAAATGTTTTAGTGAGATAATATATTAATTATTTTACAAGCTAGCCCTAACATGCTCATATTTAATGTTCTAGCTAAAAAAACAACGTTGGTTAAAAGATGTGGAAAAAACTTATAATAACCCTATTGTTTTTTATACTTAACGTTGATTAAAATATGTAGAAAATAGATAATAACCCTATTATTTTTTAGATTTAAACGGACAAGGGTGTGAAAATAACTCATTTAATATCTCTGTTTTGCCCGTGCATCGCACGGGTACGTACTAGTTATATATGCTATGTTTGGTAAAACTAGTTGATAGCTGATAAGCTAGCTTATAATTTATTAGTAATTTTCGAGCTTATAGCTTATAGCTTATGACTTATAGATGAAAAACTAACTTATATGATAAAAGCGTTTAGTAAAGTTAGCTGATAAGTTCGAATAAACTACCAAAAATTTCAACGAGCTTATTTGAAAAGCTACCAAAAAAAGCTTATCAAATAAGTTCGAGCTTTTTAAATAAACCCGTCCTACCAAACGGAACTTATTTGAATACAGTGAGTTTATAAGCTAATCAAATAAACTATAAACTAACTTATTGGTCCAGCAAACATAGCATAGAGTGCAATGAAATTATTGCCTTGATCAATTAAAGCGCACTGAACTTTTTCATTTTTTCATATTATACCCCTTCATTTTAGGAATATTTCACTACCGACCAAAATAGTGTTGGTAATTGCGTTGCGGACCCAGTGGTAGTCAATTACAACTTAAAAAACTTTCTCCCTCTCCCTGAAGCTTTCTGCAACCTTCACAAAAACCCTAACACAGTTCTCCCCACGCACAAATCACACATTCTGAGCAGCGACGTTTGGAATTGCTGTCTTCTGATATCCAATCAGGCTATGGCGGATGTTACTGATGATTCGCGGGACATCGAGAAGCTGTACGAGCACGGAGAAAAGCTCAACGAAGCCACAGATAAATCTCAGGTTAATCATTGTTTTAACTGGATTCCAGAGTTTCATTTCACTTGTTCGTTCTTGCTTTAGTTTGATCTTGTTGTTAAATTTATGTCTTGTGTGTATGTGTGTTTGATTTTTGAGAAGCAGAATCGGAAGGATTACGAGGGGATAATAGCTGCAGCAAATGGCAGCGTGAAGGCAAAGCAATTGGCGGCGCAGATGATACCGAGGTTTTTCAAGTATTTCCCCGAGCTTTCTGAGCAAGCTTTGGATCAGCATTTGGATTTATGCGTGGATGAGGAGCTTGGTGTAAGTGCATCTTCAAAGAAAAACCTTAATTTTTTCATATCTTCTGCATGTTAAGTATGCCAAGCATGATAAAATAGTTAAATTATAACTTCATTAGAGCCCAGGATGCTGGAATTGTCACTCGAACCAAAATTTTCTGCTGTGTATATTTTTGGTTTTTTCAGATGTTACATCTTATCCTCAAGGCATCACATGTATATAGCTTGTCCACACACACTCACACACCTAAGAGATTTGTTGGTTTTTTGATGATTGCTATAGGTCCGTGTACAAGCTATTCGCGGGCTTCCTCTGTTCTGCAGAGATACACCTGAAAATCTGGCAAAAATAGTTGACATCCTTGGTCAACTCCTCGTTGCTGGTATTTTAGTTTATGAAATCTCTGCAGGATTCTTAATAGATTATTTAGTTGTCTTTCTATGTTAGTTTTTTATTTTTATGGTCATGATTAGGTGACAATGTGGAGCGTGATGCTGTGCATAAAGCCCTTATGACGCTATTGCGGCAGGATGTCAAGAGTAAGTTCCAATTATGAATGATTTTCTTTGCAAATATCTATTTTTTCCTTTTCAGTCCTTTTTTCTTAATTCCTCTATGAATCTTTCCAAATCTTTGGAATATCACGTATAAAAAATTTCTTAGTGAGTGAAGACTTGTTTTATGAGATTCTTGGTCTCGACATAATTATTATTAATTTTATTAAATTGGTAGACAGTCCCTTCGCCTTGGTCATAATCAGCCATAGTGGTGTTTATGAACTTACTCTTTCGGGTGTTAAACGTAGAGTCCAAGTATCAAATTGAAGGATTATGGAAAAAATATGACTTATACCTTGCAATGTGATGCTATATTATGCTAAATTTGTTATCTGTGCTGTTTCTCAATGGGTATTGCAAAATTATTCTCTGTTTGAAGTGCTTCTAACCAAATCACATACTAACCGGTGCACTTTGCCATGAACTGAATATTACTGGCTTGCACCCTCTGGACTTGAAACATTTGTGTTTGCCTTGTAGACCTCCACAGAGCACAACCCTCTACTGTTGTGCTGGAAAGGAGTTTACTTCATTCCCGCAATTTAAAAATGAATAGCTGATTGTAATTTTTGAGCTATTGAAGTTAGTTTGTGGCCACCGCTAAATGCAGTTGACTGTAATTGGATCTTCAGTTAATGGCAGTTCTTTTTGCCTTATGAAGAACTGAGAAAATGCTTTTCGTTAGAGCAGTCTGTCAAGAAACAGTTCCTGAATTGCATTACATCCGGGTAAACTAGGTCATCAGTCGGCATCTTGAATGGTATCTTGTGGATTGTTCCTAGTATTGTCCTGACAGTCGGCAGATACGTCATCAGTTGGCTGTTTGAATGGTAATTTTTACCTTGTGGATTCTTCCTAGGGTTCCATAATTCAGTTTTATCATGTTTCTTTGGAAGTTGGAACTGTTGTCATCTCGAGCCGCTTGTAGACGCATGATTTTGTTGGGTAAGGTCGTAGATTTTGAAGAGAGATTTTCATCATGGGAGAGGAAAGGTGTTGGTTTATCTTGTGTTGTCCGGTATAGATATTCCTATATATGTATCTTTTCGCACCTGTATTCTCTATATACTAAACTAAGGAGAGGAACTTCTAGTAGTGGGTGCATAAGGTAATAAAAAATAGCAAGATGTGGTTAGTTATCATGTAGTAATAGCTTTTAATAGGATCCTCACACCCTTATATAATTTCTACCCAAGTTTTATGGTACGGTTACCAGTACGTTGTATTTGTTTCCATCTACAGCACACTATGAGCTTCTGTGCTAAAGTCAGCTAGTGAATCTGGTTTGTTGGATGGTGGGGCTTGTCAGAGACAAGCCTTGGAAGAAGTTGAGCTGAAGTGCATCTGACATATTGGTCATGAGATGGAAGGTGGTAGGAACTTTTAGAATGCTGCATGGTGGGTGATGAACAGTTGAGAAGTAGATTCTCTTTCTACTTCCTTGCTGAAAAGTATGAGTCCTCTCTTGCCATAATGCATGCAGTATCCAGGAATCTTGATATGAGACGTCGAAAGTGTCAATGTGTCGGCGAAGAGAAGTGTTTCAAATATTATAACTCTCATTATACCATGGGATCTGGTTGGTATTCATGTGTTCCATGTTCCAGGCAGTATGTTGAATGAAGATAACAATTTTGTTTCTTTTAGTATTTACCTTCTTGCTTGGGAGGTCTGGTTTTTCCAATTAGTTATGCAGTGCATCATCTCTCATAATTTTTCTACCATCCAAGATGGCCGGAAGGGACTGGCTAACATTGTACTTGTGGAGAGGAGAAACTCTGACTGTTTTTTTATTTATTTGAGGCACATTTTGACTTTCTATATTACTCGTATGTAGGGATAAGTTCATAGTAAGAGCTTTTACATTACCTAGACTTTTGTGTCATTGACTTCGTTAATTAGAAATTCCAGTCATTTATGTGGACCAATGCTTTGACTGCCTGGTTAATCTTTCTTTGTGCAGTTTTTAGTGTGGATTGTACTCAGGTATGTACCTTAAGTCATTGTCTGCATGTGTTGCAGCTTCATTAACAGCTTTGTTTAAGCACATTGGCAGCACTGATGATCGAAATGCAGAGGATCTCAGTGCTTGGGAGGGCATTCGGGAAAAAGTTCTATGCTTTATTAGGGACAAGGTAAATGATTGCTGATTGTGAGAGTAATTCTGTTCTGAGAGTTTTTTTTGCTGTTCGGAAATTGTAAACCCTCCAATTTTCAGGTGTTTCCTCTTAAAGCTGAGTTGTTGAAGCCGAAAGATGAAATGGAGAGACACATCACTAATTTGGTGAAACAGGTGCTGCATTGTAGCTGAATTTTTGTCTCTGTCATCTGATATTCTTTCTAGCCTGTTTTTGTCTTCCTTGTTATCTGATATTCCTTTTAGACCGACTTTTTCCACTCGCGCCCTAGATTAGTGATATCTATTGTCATTTGTTGAAGCTTAATATGTCCACTAACTTTTTTGTTGATATGCTTCCCTTCCAGAATTTGCAAGATGTGACAGCAGCAGAGTTTAAATTGTTCATGGACTTCTTGAAAAGCTTGAGCTTATTTGGGCAGAATGCTCCTGTGGAACGAGTTCAAGAACTTGTTGAGATTATTGAAGGCCAGGCTGATCTTGATGCTCAATTTGATGTATGTTTCATGTTTCTTCAAATGTTATGACAAAAGTGTTTTATCTGCTTTTCAGTGTTTGCATAATTGCATAGTTGTTGGTCACTCTTTTACGGTCTTTATTTAAGGGAAAGTCTATTGTTTAACCTTGTTGATACTCGACATTGTTTTCTGTTTCTCTCTTTTCTTTCTTCCCCCACCCCCCGCCGCCGAACCCAACACACCACTCAGAAAACCTTAATGGTGTAGTTGCTGAATCATATTCTTGCATTGTTTTTGTTCGCCCGAGTTAACATTTTTGGGCATGCTAAAAGAACTGGTCTTAATTTAAACTGCCTTTCCATGCTCAGTAACTTATCAATAGCTAATGGACTCTCTAATCTTGATGCCTAAATTTTTCTTATTTTAGTTCTCGCATTAATTTCAGCATTTATCGTGTTGCCACTATCAAAATTACTGCTATATCTATGACAGATTTAGATGCAATGGCTGTTCTTACACTTTATTTGTGTATGGTTTTTATGCAAATGTTGGTGGTCTGTGTTATAGATGAAGAAATACTTGGAATTATGTTTTAATTTTCATTTTGTTAATCTTTTACGTATGGCTTCAACAGGTTTCAGATGGTGATCACATTGCTCGATTTATATCCTGCCTACAAATGGCGCTTCCCCTTTTCATGGTAAACACTACTTTTAATAATTTGTTAATTTTTAATATTTGTGACCTTATTTTGAACTCAAGCATATATGCCATGACAGAGGGGTGCATCATGCAGCAAGTTCTTCAGTTATCTGACGAAGCAAATTATCCATGTTTTTGATAAGGTAAAGTGTAAGGTGTGCTGCTGACTAGTTTCTGACTGATTATTTTGATTTGAAGATTTCAGTTGGCAACACCTGATCAGTTTTTTCTGTTATTTTATTGCCTTACAGTGTTCTCTGTCTGTGTTTGTATCTTTCTACCCTAAACAAGCATCTGCCATAGCTGCCAGTTAGCTTTTGCATTTGTTCTCTGTTACAATTAATCATATCTGCTGACATTTTTTAATCTTCTACCTCTTCCACACCCCTTCTCATTTGACTAATTTAAGGCATGCTTGGATACAAATATATTCGCTCAAACGTTTTTTTTTGGTTAACAAGAGTTGATTCTGAAAAATGTTGTATAGTTAGTTGTTAGTGGGATTTTGATTTTATATTAAAATAATATTTAAAATAAAATAATTAAAGTTGATTTGATATAAAAGTAGGATAGATGATGTGAAGTGATGGTTAGTTAAAATGATGAGTGAGTGAATGGTGAATTAAAGTTGATGGAATGTGTAAGAATGATTGATTGTTATTATTTAATTATATTAATAATATTGAGGATAGTGGAGTTAAGTTAAAGTTGAGTTATATTTTGAGTATGGATTGAGTTATTTTATAAACAAACACGCCCTTAATTGTTTATGTTCTTCTGTCACTGCCTTACTATCACAATGTGGGATCACTCTTTGGTGGAAGCTTGGTTAGTATTAATAATTATTGAGAAATGAATGTATCAGTGAAGATATTTGTGATCTGACCTCTTGCCAGGCCAAGAGCTCTTTCCAAAATTTTCATCTTTATTCAACATACTTGAAAAAGCTAAGTTTCATTTGAAATTATTGAAAGAAATTCAATTATGTTGGATAACTGGGAAGTTAAAACCTAACTGTATCTCATCATACTACTGGAATACGACTCCTTGTTCTCGTTGCTTTGGATTTATGGTGGGTTTTCTATTCAACTTTTTCCACATCAGCTACCGGAAGAACGAAAACTGGACTTGCTCAAGAACCTTGCCGAATGTTCACCATATGCTAAACCACAAGATTCAAGACAACTTCTTCCATCAGTTGTTCAACTTTCAAAGGTACCTTTTCTCCCAGAGAGAATAAAAAGGCATCATTCATAATATGATGTTGCTTATATAGTATTTCTGATTAGAAAATTGATGCTTGTTTGTGTACCTGACACCTCACATATTTTTGTAACCTTTTACATTAGATACCAGCGCTTGATCCTTCCTAATATTATAACCTTTGACTGATATTGGTCATTGAATTTAATTTTTAAAAATATGCGAAATTAGGAATATGTCGAATAGGAGATGGCTGACCCTCCTGTAGGTGGATAAATAAATTACAGTCTAGTGTTGAGTCTGCTGACAAATTGATCCATGGTGTATTATCCTGTTAATTTAATTTATGCTAACCATTCTGAGCCTTTTCTCAATATGCTTTATACGCGTTTTCTTTTTTCTCACAGAAATACATGGTCCGGAGAAAAATTGAAGAGATAAATTTTACATGTATTGAGTGTTTGCTTTATGCTTTTCACCATTTAGCTCACAAGGTAATAATTATGCTGTATTTGACTGTGTTTTAAGCTGTATATTTTACATCAACCACCACTCACCCCTTATATTTTGTAGACTCCGAATGCCACTAATAGCCTTTGTGGCTACAAGATCGTCACTGGGCAACCTTCAGACAGACTTGGGGAAGATTTTTCAGAACAATATAAAGATTTTACAGAGAGGTACTTCATGAATGAATTTATAACTTGGAATCTCACAAGCATATTTTATACATCCAAAATGATATCGATTNTTACTGAAATAATTGTGCTGCAAGAATTTGTGGGTCTCTTGTGAAATTTCAGTTTGTTGATATTAATTTTTCTGATGGTATAGATTGAGCACCATCGAGGAATTAGCAAAGACAATGAATAAGAAATTGACCCAGGGGATGACCGAGCACAATAAAGCAATGACAGCTGCAAAGACAGATGAGGATAAAGAAACTATTGTGGGTTTTCCCTTGCTTTTAACATCAATCAAGTCCTTCCTGGATATATTATTTTTGGTTGATTCAGTTGAGTTAATTATGTTCCTTTGTTCTTTCCGAGCGTGCTCTTGCAGAAGCAGCAGAAGCAGAAGGCTACAGCTAGTCTTCGGAGCTGCAACAATATACTTGCAATGACCCCGGTAAATATTTTCTTCCCCTCGAAAAATAATTTTGTGTAGAAAATTATTAAAGGTGGATCAAGTTTTATTATTAAAGGTGGATCAAGTTTTATCTGAGTACGTGTAAAACATCCATGGTTTAATATTGACAAGAATCTAATGGTTTAATATTTACAAGAATCTAACCTTTTTTTTTTGTTTTTTTTTTTATTTTTATTTTTTGTTTCTCCCTACTTTGAACGACTAGACTCTCTATTCCAACATTTCCTCTTTTCTTATTTATCTAATATTTGTGTGCAGCCTTTGCATTCGAAAGCGCCTTCATTTATCGGGGACCAGAAAAAGATCAACTTATCTTGGAAAGAAGTTCCTAAACCGGCATCAACATCTGGTGCTGCTACTGCCACAGGGTATATAATATATATACATAGAAGAAATTTCCTGATTTTTACCAACACTCTTAATCATGCATACTTTTGCAATTTTTGAATGAAATTGCTTACATTTTCGCAGTAAAAAACGAAGTGCAAATGCTGCTAATGGGTCTGGGACAAATGTAGCAAAGAAGGGTCGAGGAGCAGGTGGTTCACAAAATCAACTCGTTAACCGAGCTTTTGAAGGATTAAACGATATTAGAGGTGGCATTGGAAGAGGCTGGAGGGGCCGTGGTCGAGGCAGGGGAAGGGGGGGCTATCGTTAGAAGAGGTGCAAGAAAAATGTGTTCAACTTTGTTGTATAATGTAGACATTTTTTTTTTTTTTTTGAAGGCGGTGAAAAAATTCTCCTACTGGCTAATTGTAGGATAATATACATGCCGTATTTGTTGTTCCCTTTGGTTTTGAGTAATTTATCGACAGTGTTTAAATAACTAATATTTTTAACTATTCTTTTTTTGAGCTGATTTGAAGGGTTAATTTTCAATCATATTTCCGTTTACAGCTATTGGAAGAGTACCATACCTCAATTCTGAATCATCAATCATGTTTCTTTTTACCATCCATGATAATTTCATGAATATAATTGGCAATGTTGTTAACTAATTTCTCGAGGTTTTTTTAAGGCTCAAATTTCAGTTCATTTGAGTATGACATATTTAAAAGCTAATCATTGCAAAATTCAAAATCATTAATCGTGTCTTCCGCTTACTTCAGGTAGACATGGCCAAAGCACGTGTTGGGCCTGGCCCGAGTTTGGGCCCGTTCAAATAAAAAAGAAAAAGAAAAAATTTAAACAACAAACAAAAGCATCCAGGCTGGACCGGGCCGACGGGCCGGGTGGCCCTTGGCCACCTCTAACTTGAGGAGTATTTCCAATGTTTAGTTTTGTCCGCAGGCTGCGTTGCTTTAGTGGCGGCGAGGTCAGCCACCGGCAGGCCGCTTGTTCGTGGCTAGCAAGATCGCGTGCATTGTTTGTCGAGGAGATCGGTGATGTCGATGCAACTGTCTTTTACGACGGATCGTCAGTTTTTGACGAGTCTCTGGGGTCGGAGGATGACTTGCCCGAAGATTTCTCGCACTACATCATTTTCGATGTGGAAGGTATTTATAATGTTGTTGTCTCTACTTTGCTGGAGTTTGGGGACGTAAATAAAAGTGATGATCAAATGAATATTGATGATTATGGAAGCGTGCAACCTAGTATGCTCTTGGGGCTGGGAGCTTAGTTCTGAACACGCTCTTAGGATAATAGTTAGTATTGACTCCAAAAAGTTGTATGCTATTGAAGTGTTTTTTGAGTTTGATGGGCTCAGAGTTAATTTATCAGATTGTCTTTATAAAGGCCTATCATCTAATGCCTTGTTGTGGCTTGATGGTGGATTTGTGACAGACATTGTTGACATGGCTGATGGAATGGTCTTCAAATTTGAAGAAGGATTTCTTCACTATACAAGCTCGATTTTGAACATTGCACCACTCTTTTATATGTGCATTGTTGATTATCCTAATGAGAGACATGATCAAATGTGTGCCTGTCCTGGGATGGCATCTGCGAGGACTACTAAATTGTTGGACGACATTCAACATTCGTGCCCGATAGGAAAAAATGACGGGCGATTGCTGCCATGGGTACGACTCCACACACCGACAACAAGATTGGGTCGAATTCAAGGGCGAATCCTGCTCAACTGGGGGAGAATGATGCATAATAGTATCTATTATTCTTGGTATAATAATATTTAGTAGTTTAATTAGTATCTATTATTATTATTAGCATTTAATAGTTATTTGTTATTTATGTTTAGTCTTGGTGAGCAAATTATTGTTAGCGTTTAGGAGCCTTGTATAAAAGACTCCCCCTCTTTTATTCTATTCAGTTGACATTGAATAAGAAAATATAGTATTAGAGAGTGAAATTTCTTTTATATCCTCTCATTCGTACGTTTACCTACATCACATTGACAAGTGAAATAAACGGCAATTATTTTATGGTAGAATGCATGGTGATGAACTTAGTGTTCTAAAAGTCACTAGGCGCCCGCTAGGCGCTCGACCAGTGCCTAGAGTGCCTAGGCGGGGCCTAGGCGGCGCCTAATCGGGGCCTAGAAATAAATATTAAATACCGTATTTTTTATTTATTTAACTACATACCAAATAAAACTATCTCAACTTATAATAAATCCACACACCTAAGTCTAAATAATAATTTTAATATATTTTAAAGAAAAATATGCGAACAAAATAATGTAATTAGTATTTAAAAAAAATAAAAAAAAATGAAAAATTACCGTCGAGCCCGCCTATGCATGCCTAGACGCAGCCTAACCGCCTGGGCGCCGTGCCGCCAAGTCCGCCTAGGAGCGTCCAGGGCCGTCTAGCCGCTTGGCCGATTTTTTTGGCCGATTTGTGCAAATCGGAGGCGGCCTGACACCGTTTAACGCTTTTAGAACAGTGGATGAACTAGAGAACATACAAAAGAAGAGTAGGGGACCCCACCGCATAACTTGCAAAAACTGCAAATTCCAAACAAGTAAAATAATCCTAGATTGGTTGGTAAAATAATAATAATAATGATAATAATTATATCCTAAATTGGTACTAACATGCACAATCAGACCTCACCTTACACCACATATATTTTTCTCCATTTGGGAAATTCCACTTTTCTAACATTGTAGGAAATCAAATAAAGTAATTAGATTGCAAGATAGAGGCCAAGCTTTCAAATAGCATGCCATGGATTTACTTATTATTTAGACAGCTTGAATTTGGAAAACAAAATAGACATTTCCTATTGTTTTTTTCATATCTCCTTGATTTCCTGAATCAAATTTTCAGACATCTATGCAGAATATATTGGGTTGATCTTCAATTTTATTCTATTAAAGGTGCAATCTTGACCCATGAAAGTTCAGATATATATATATTTTTTTAATATTTTTTATGCAATCTAAATGATTGTGATCTGGGTTATTTAAATTTCCCCTCAGCTTTACCATTTGGGGTCTCGTGTTATTCAAACTCCTCAGATTTTTGTGATTCTCACAAATCTTGGGNACCACTTTCCATTTTTCTTTCTTAAATACCAGCAAGATTTCTCTGTGAGTTCTCATGGCTCAGAGTAAAAAATGGCTCAAGAAACCACTTCAGCAAAAAAGACTAAACCGAAAAAGGCTCCACAAAGAGGATTAGGTGTTGCCCAGCTTGAAAAAATCATACTTGAAGAAACACAAAGGAATGAGTTCTTGGCCAAAAATGCAGTTAGTTCACAAAATGTTAATAAGAGTAGTTCTAATGTTTCAGTTTTAGGCTTTCAAGACCCGAGCTTTCGCCCCTCTACTCGACCATTAGTCCCAAAAACCGAGTCTTGGCACCAAAATTCGATTCGACTTTCAAGTGAAGGGGAATTAGTCTCTAGAGCCCTTTTTGGCCAAAGACATGAAAATTGGCCTAAATCTTGGAATAGTGAACATAATCATGATATGAGTCGATTTGAGTCGAGAATGAATTTCGGGTTCGAGTCGAATGTGCCGGTTTTGGCTCCAATATCTCCTTCATTGGTTAGTTAACTCTTGTAAACGATCAATTTATTATTAAGGTGAAACTATGTGTTGTTGTAAAGTTATTAGTGTTAATTTTATGTATGATGCTAATTATTCATTTAATTTTTTGTGTGTTGAACCTGGTAATTGCAGATGGAGCTCCCTTCAATTCAAAGTTTTCATCCTAAAACCTGTGCATTAACAGAGAATGATAAGGTAACCTTGTTCTTTCTCTGTATTCAAATAAAAGCTTCTTCATTCTTTTTTTTTTTTCTAATCAATAAAATGATTTACTTGATAATTGCTAGGATCATCATATATCTGCATCCCATTTAATTTTTAGAAATGTTTCTATATGGTTGTGATTATCTAAGATCCATATATNTCTTTTTTAAACCTGTAAATTTGGATGATGATAATTACTTAAAACCATAAGTTGCTGCATAAAACTTGTGGTCATATCTGTATCCAAGGGGTCCAAATAATTTTTCTTATAGGAAAAAGAATGGTAATTATAGTGCAATGCATTACAAAATCTTAGGAAAGTTTCTTGTATTTTTTTAAAAAAAAGAAGTTCCAAATCCAACAGGCTATTGCAGTAACTATTCTGAATTTCTATTTAGATGGTGAGTTAATAAATCTGATTTTGGTTAATTATTATAATGCTATCTTATGTAGATTATTGGCAAGAAGTCCTACCCCTTCTCTCTAGAGGCCAATGATATTTCCACATTGACTAAATCAGACCAATCAGCTTCATGCACCAATGAGTACACACTTCATATGGAACCACAAAACAAATTGATCAGGTTTTCATTAGCTAATTTTATTTACTTTTAAATGTGTTGTTTAATCTTGAAAGGAACTTCTAGGAAGAATCACATTTCATTTACTTTTAAATGTGTTGTTTAATCTTGAAAGGAACTTCTAGGAAGAATCATATTTCAAAAAAAAAAAAAAATATTATAATTATTGAATTATCACACTGAATTTCTTTCACAATTTTGCAGAGATCGCGTTTGGTACTCGAAAGAAAGGAATTTGAAAAAATTAAAGAGCGATAATATGAAGCTAAATGGAGACTTCCTTACATTGGCTCCTCCATCGATTGTCGATTCTCCACCGTTGGACCATTCCTTTCAAGATAGGCAACAGTTATCTGAAAACAGGACTGGTATTGCTGATAAGGTATGTCAACAAAAATATAGCCAAAAAAATCCATATTTATAATGTGATCAAGTTATATTTTAGTTTTGAAAATTGACAATTCAATATGAAATATGTGTATATGGTGAAAATTGATGTTTAACTTGCCACCATTTTTTTCCCTATAATTTTATCGTTCTTAGATTTGATTTCTCGTCCAGGAATCGGTCAACAGCGGAATATTCCATCGACGGAGTGGATTGGTGGGAAATTCTTCAAGATATTTTTCAAATAATTTGGGAACTTGTCAAAATACAAACTATGGAAACAATGGCAATAGTGAAAAGGGAGAAATAGTTGATCTCAGTCTGAAGCTATAGTAGCTTTGTTCAGGTTTTTGGAATGACTTGGTTTGTGTGTAATTAATTGTTTAATTTAAACATTGTACTGCTTTTTCATATTGAAATGGCTTTCTGTTGTTGGTTATGTATATTGCTCAGAAGATTAAACAGGTTGCTGAATTTAACTGGCATCAACATTTGAGTATATTCTTACTTAATTGTCATGGTAATAAACTTTAAGTTTTAGA